GGCCTGGGAGCTTTTGTTGTAATTGGGTGAAGATTCCTGCCCTGGTTTTGTGCACACACACGTGTGTGTAGAAGAGCACTCTATAGAAGTTGAATCTTCAGATCTCACTTGGTAAATGGAGTCTGATTACTGTAAACGAGCTAAAAACTTTCTTAGACTCTCCTACCTATTATTTTCCTGAGGAAATAAAATGGGAATATTTACTGGGTGCTTGGAAGTGAGGAAGGTCTCTGAGAAATGACATGCTGAGGTTTCCTATTTTTAATTTTAGTACACTCTATAAATTAGCAAATGTTGGATAGAAGAATAGGCAGTGATGATGCAAGTTGATTTTTATTCATATGAGCTTACTCCTTTCTCTAGCATTTCCATAATTGCAGCTTTAATACTTGTGTGAGGAGGAACACTTCAAAAGACAGATTTACTGTTCTTGAAAACTGGTGCTCAAAAGAAATGCCACTTGGATATTGCAGCCATCCTGTAATCTAGGAAATGATGTGCCAAAGTGCTTGCTGTATTACAACAGAAAAACCTAACGGGTTTGAGATTGAAGGACTGCAATTAAGAAGTGCTACTGCTCCCTTAATATCTGAATTATAAGTAGTGGGCCTAGAGGTAAAATAGGAGGTGCTGGCAACAGGCAAAATTGGTAAAATGTATATAGCCCTGAATCTGACTGCTTGTTTTGTCACTTGCCTAGTTTTTTTTTCTTTTTCTCCTTGTCCTTTTCTGACAGCCCACTATAATTTAAGTCTTTCTATATTACTCTTTATTTCTTGTTTATTACCTTTTTCCTTCTCATTATTCTTAAGACTTTGAGTAGGAGGTCTGAGTGCGAAATGCTGTTTAGATGCTTACTAAAAGTAGTAGATTTGACACTTCAGCTCATCACTCTTTCTTTTGCAGAGCTCTTGTGGTCCAGTTTGTCAAAGGATTCTTTTTCAATTTGTGTAGCATTTTGGTTTACACATTTACCTCAAAAAAGGGTTGCAAAGCTGATAAAAACTCAGCATTGCTACCAGCAGTGAGTTAGGAAGAAGAGCCGATGTAAGCGTTTCTTTATTGGTATCCAAGCTTCTTTTCAGACTGGGCATCACTCTTTTGGGAATGACAAATAAGTTCTCATTTATGTTGTCTGCAGAAAATCGTGCATATATCAATGTTTGACAAGATCTGTTTCCAGAAATTTTTTGCAAAACTATTCCGTAAGGAAATTTGCCATGATGCTGTGAGCATAAACCCTTGGCAGTACTGGCTTTAAGACTATAAATCACCAAAGGAAAACAGCTTTTAGCAGTCATTTTTTCTCCCCACTTAGTGTTGAGTGAAACATTGGCAGTTTGTGTGGGAGAAAAAAGTACAGATACAATAATGAATTTTTTATCACCAAGTAATTGACCTAAGGATGCACCAACTTAACTGTTGTTCCAGGATGAGCTGTTGGTGAAGGCAAAATACTGTCTCACAGGCATTTCTCTTGCAGAATCTCGATTATTTGTCAAGGAGACAAAAACTTATAGATAACCTTTGCAATATTAAATTTGACAGCATCTTAAGACATTGGAAATAGCGTTTTTTGGAATAACGTTTTCATGAAGTGATAATTATATGTTCTCAAATTTAGTAATTTACCTTTAAAATTAGATGGGCATAACTTCCTGATTTTCATTCACATATTCAGTTTGAAAACACTAAAAAAGATATTAGAACTTTAGGAATTTTAGGCACCTGTTTTTCTCAGAAAACTGCAATGAGACCTGCCTAAGTTTGCCTGTCAGACCATTGGAAAACCCACATTTTCTAGATGTGTGCTTAGTTCCTGATGGACAGTGATGCTTCAGTATGTGTTAAACTACCATCAGGAGGCTTCTACTTGGGGAGCTGGCCTCAACTATGCTTCAGTGCCAAGATTCCTTATGTAATACATTTGTCCAAAATAAATCTGGTATCAGTTACGATGAGGGGCAGAAGAGTGATGGAAGTGAGGTTGGGAAGGCTGTTGTACTGCTATATGGTAATAAATAGAGCGGAGTTTAAATCTCTTCTAGTTTGCATAATGGGTAATAGAACTAGATCAACACCTGTACATCAAATGAAGTTCTCTAGTTTCTCTCAAATATGGTTTGTTTCATAGTTATTAAAATAGGATTTTAAGCATTTTTATTTGAGTTTCAAGTAATTGTCAAGAGTTTCCAGGAGAACATGCACTTTCCTGATGACAGCCATTTGGTATTAATATCCATGTTGTTTTTCAGTGCTTTTTTCTTTTTTTCTTCAGAGTAAATGCCAGTAAATGAATACCACTTATTTCCATTTGTTATTAGGAGAAATGGAATTTGAAGGCTGTGTTTTTGTGTATAATTCCTTAAATGGAACATATACATTCAGCAGTGCTTTCCTGGGTAAGCACCAGTGGGAGAAAATCTTTTTGGAGGACTTTTCCTCTGTTAATTAGTACGTGCTTGCTTAAAGATGATAAACAATAGCCTTTCTGATGGGGTTAGAAACATCCAGACCAAAGCTCTTCTGTTATAGAACAGATGTTTAGCAGTGTAACTTGCGTAATTTGACATATTGATGCCTGAATTACTAGCTAATAATCTGGAGTTCATGCAGGGGTTTGTTTGATGGGTCTTTCAGAAGACATGAAGATGGGTAGAGACCCCTTTTTAAGATGTAAAAGACTGAGCAGGAAGAAGGATAATGTAGTTGTTAAAACACGAGGAAAAATGTAGAAATAACACTTTAACCACGCTGCTTTGTAGCAAGTTTTCATTCCACTGCCACTGTATTGCAGGAAACCGTACGCCTGCTGTCTGGGCCGACAGTGTGGAGATGTATGGGGATGTCGCCATGCACCACTCTGCTGGTCCCTTATCTAGTCTAGTGTGACAAATAATTCTGCTCAGCTTGTCAGCGCTGACAGCTGAGACTTTTTGCTTAGATGCCTCGACAGTGCTTGTGTGAAGCAGCCGGGGCCGTACACTCCGTTAAGTTTTTGTAGAATGAACTGCCTGCTGCCGACAGCGTCGGCGCTGGAGCTGTGATCCCGGCGTCTGTGGGACACGGGGCTGCGGAGGTGGGAGCCATGGAGCTCCCAGGAACCAGCCACGGCGCCGTGCAGAGGGACAGCGACCCCGTTCCTAGGATTCCAAAATGGAAACAGGTGGAAAAGTCATGACAAATTGTGGCGCGTGAGGAATGGGCAGGTACAAATAAGGTGGCGCAGAGGGGCAGCGACCCCGTTCCTAGGGTTCTGAAATGGAAACGGGGAAAAGTCATGACAAATTGGGACGCGCGAGGAATGGGCAGGTACAAATAAGGTGGGGACGCTGGGGAGGGTGTATGTGCCACTTCAATCTCACGAGGCCACTCCTATGAGCACCACCTGGATCATAGTAGGTATATTAGAAAATACAGTGGTTTTTAAAGGACACTGCTCAGTTTTATGGGAGGGAAATTCTGTTAGTTACATCTGTAAATATAAGTGTGTCTATTTACGGACACACTTAAAATTAATAAAAAGAATTGAAAGTCTGTTAATAACTTTTTTTGTTAAATATGTAGATAGAAGATTGCAGAATGAAGTGTCCTTCCTTTATATCTTTGCAGGCCTGAATGACAGTGCTGTTGAGCTTATCTTTGTGTGTATGTTTTATATATATGTAAAATATATCCTTACATGTACTGCTGCAAGCTGTACTTCACTCAAACCAACTACAGTGTCTTTATTTCTATGTCCTCATGTGCTATTCCAAAAAGGTCTTTCCGTATCTGCATCAAAAAAGTTATTTTTAGAGCTATCATTTAGCTGTATGTTTTCATTCTGTGTTAAAACTTGGCATGAAATTTCATCCTGTAGGAGAATATGTAATTTTCATATGACGTCCCATATAACACTCTTTTCCCCTCCTCTTCAGTGCTGGCCAAACGTGGAGATGTGCGGTACAGTATGTGGACTTAACAGCAGGCATCTTAGGCTACATGTGTGTGTTGGCATTTCTAAAACTCTTGAAGAGATGGAACCAATTTATTTAATACACTGTGTTTGGAAAAAGCACATAGTGGATATGAAAAGAGCAGCTCTGGAGGCTCTGAAAGACTAGGGAGCCACAGGCCTGTAAATAGCTGAGCATGTGGAAATGTGCACTGGAAAGGATGAATTGAGCAAATGAAGGTGGAATTATAACCAGATAAGATCAGCAGAAGGACTGGCATTGAGCTTGAACCTGGTTCCTCAAAGCCTGTCGGTGGTTTAAAAAATGGAAATGGAGCTTTATTGGTGAAGGTATACATGCAGTTTTGCAGCCTGGCTATGTGATAGTGGCATAGTGATAATGTGATCCTACTTTCTGATATACTGATGGCACTAGCTTGAGCAATAGTAAAATCACGTGTAAACTGTGTCCGTAGTTCAGGATAGGCTTAGGTCTGGGTCCACACGGAAACGTGAGCGCTAGAAAGTGCCTGTCACCGAGGGCAGTTTGTTTGGGACACGAGTCTTCAAGATGGGACTGGAAAAGCAGAGGGCCCTGGCTGGGTCCCTGTCTCTGCCCTACCCCTCTGTGTATTAATTTGTAGCCAATTATCTTTATGTGCTCAGTGCCCTCTGTCTTGTGCTGGCTTTAAAAGCGTGTGTTTGTATGGATGAGGGATTTTGATCATCATCTTTCTGTGGAAGCAACTTTTGATGTCAGATTATCAAAAAAACCTTCTTGTGTTCATGCTGAGATACTTTGTCAACATCATCAGCAAACGAATATTTTCATAATGAGCCCTAATAATGGGAATACCTTACCTGTAAACTATGCAATATGCAGGCGTGTATATCACTAATTAGAACGGGGGTTAGAAAGAGATGTTTTTGGACTTTGATTTCAAGCCATGTAATGAAAGGATTTGAACTTCTTTTGGCAAGGAATGATCTGCAACAGTAGTATATTCTGAGCTTCACAACAATGGTGTTTAAAAAGAGCTTCATTGTAAATTGGAAGCAGTGCCTTTCTATTGAGTGTATAATTGGACTGCTTCAAAATAATTATTTTCTTGATTGTATTCTTAGACTGCCATTTTTGGGTTTTATTTCTTACCGTTTATGGACTGATTTTTTGAAAGCAAGAGGTTTATCACCTATTTATCCAGACTTATGAAGTGCAATTGAATTTTTAATTTTCAAGATATTGGCTATTGGAAATCTAATAATGAGTTGAACATTAGTTTCTTTTTTTTAAAAAAAAAAACCCTTAAACCCCCAGACAGCCCCCGGTCTTTTTTTTTTTTTTTTCCAAGTTACCTCCTTTCTCTGTGTAAGTACGCTTCTTTTGCCCATCACATGTTAGAGATGAAACAGAAGATAAAGGACAGATCTGCTAAGCCCTGATCTTGAAGCAGCAAGGCCTCAGTGGTCAAAGCAAGAAAGCCAGTGCACATGACTCAGTACAGCCTACATGAGATATTCAGAAATTATAACCTGTGTCCCAAGGAAATCATGAGATTGCAATGCAAGGCCTAGTATGTGTATATCATCTGAGATATTCTTTTCAGTTTTTCTTATTTAAAGTGGTCTGTTCTTTTTGCAGTCACAAGTCTGCAATATGAAAGCACTACATAAAATCAAATGACTCCTTGAAATGGAATTGTAAGGAAAAACGACCCATTATAGTGACACAATTGCTGAAATAGTTGGAAGTTGATGACTTTTGCCATTTGGTATGATTTGTCCTTAAAACAAGAAAACAAACCAACAAAATCTTCGAAGAATGCAGCAGTTGCTTAACAGACAAGGCTTAAATTTAGAAAAGTGTTTTTCTTTTAATTGGCTGCCTCTCTGTAACTTCAGTCTCATAAATTAACTGTTCTTAAGTACTAATGACCTGGGAAAGGCATATGTTGTATCCAGCTGTTAAATGTTTTTTTAATGCTTCCTTTTTTATACTGACAGTTAATTCCAGGGTACTGCCTGAAACCATTTGTGGAAGGGGGAGAAGGAGGGCAGGTTCCTAATGCTGTCCTGGAATGAGGAGTGCTGTCCTGAGCAAGAGCACTGACAGGATGCAGAGGAAGGATGGGTGTGTAATACTAGAACGGGTTACAAAACCAGCAACCACTACCTCTAGCTTAGAGCCCCGCGATGGGAGTGTTGCAGATGCTGGTCCCGGCCTGCCCTGCCGCTTGGCCGGGTGGCCCAGCACCGTTTTCCCTGGATTTGACCTGGGGATCCCTGCTCTGCCTCACGGGAGTCAGAGCGTCTGCCAGGGCTGGCGTCCCCTCACAGCCCGTGCCCGGTGACAGCAGCTAGGGCACTGTCTCTGCTCTGGCTTCAGGCGTTTCTCTGAATTAGGTCCTTGCTCTTCACCCAGGCGTCGAGCGCTCAGGCACTTCACTGTCTTCCAAATCTCGTAGGAGACTCTTGGCACTTGGTTATGCTGCCTTTCTCCTACACAGAAGAGGTTTTGGTTTTGTTTGTTGTTTTCTATAATACTATATTTTAGAGGTCAGGAATATGAGATTAAATAGTTTTATTGACAGCAACGTTGCTGTTAAATGATGTCGAGTGTGGATTGGTGCTATGCTCCATGGGCCAAGTTTTCCTTCCTTCTTCACATGTCCATATGTGGTTCAAACCAAAATATGGAGCTACTGGAAACCTCTGGAAGTTTGGCAGCTGGTGAAGGTCTAAGATGTCTCCTGTTTTAAGTGCTGGGCAGAGAAGGGATGTGATTTGAAATGGACTTTGTTGCCCAGGAAGAAACGCACCACACATCTCTGCACTCACCTGTGGAAACAGAAGCAGTAGAAGGAGGACGCAAGATCACTTGCCAGAGGTTTAGAAATGTTATCCCATGAATGAGCCACTTGTTGGGCCTTCTCATACAAAGAATTTAATCTTTAAAGGGAGACATTCATTAGGATTGCGACCAGATTCTCATGCAAGTCAATGAGGGTGGAACAAAACTTGGCCAGTGGGAATTCATGGGAATGCTTGTATATATTTGTAAACATTATAGTAACATGAGCGGAGCAGTAATGGAACACAGTTGCCAACTACCAAGAACCGTGATCCATCTGATGTGCATTGACAGGGCCTCTGTTAATGGCCGTCCCCTGGGGTATGCAGGAGACATCTGTGGGATCGTATAGGGGATGTCCTATGCAATAAATGTGCTCACTGCAAAATGACATTTATCATTAAACTGATGCTTCTTATTTCTTCCTACAGAGATGAAAAAGCAAAAAGGGATTTTATTGAAATCATAACAGAATTATTAAAAGAAATCGGAAGGCTCAGTCTGAATGGGTGCTCTTTGCATTTAGACGCTTTCATTCTTTGTTTTGTTACCTTGTAGACTGAAAAGCAAGGAAAAGGAGGAGAGGAGGGGGGAAAAAAAAAGCAACCTGTGTGTTCTTAAGCTGACTCTGACAGATTGCAGGCACAGCAAGGATTAAATAAGTTTATATCATTGGATATTGCTTTTATAACTGTCTTAACCTTCCTGCACAAGCTGTGCCACTAATAAATACCCAGGTATGTTTTTAGACTGCGTTAATCTTACTGGCTTTTTCCACCATATTGTACATTTGATGTTTTGTAATTTATGGTGTACTTGTCGATTCTTTTCTATGTTGCTCCCATCTGTGTCAGGAAACAGTCCTAAAATGATTTATTTCTACTGCATATGGAAGTCCTTCATGGAGAAGGATTATATGAGGGTTTTAGTGCTGACTTCATTAGCTGTGATTCTGCTGTCTTTCAAATCCTAACGTTAGATAATTTGAGCTTTGTAACTCCAATGAGTGCAAAAACAAGTAAGTTTTATCATATAATTCTTATTGCATGAGAAAAAAAAATCTCAGAACGTGTATATTTATAGTTTTGTACCACGGGGAGCACTGGGAGTGAATGCTGTGTCAAATATTTAGCTGTCCCTTCCGGACGGTGTTGTATGCAGTGAGAAACAAATGCAGCTAGAACAGTCCAGGAGTTCTTATCACGCTATGCATCTCATCCAGGGAGAGAAAATCTGGTTTTTATTTTTAGGGTGCTGAAAGGAGAATGGAGACTACATGTTACAGAAATATATATATTTTTTTCCTTCCTGTAAAAGGTCGCTGTTTTCTCAGCTGTTTTTTCTTCCCTTTTTCTCTACCCCTGCGAAGTTGGAGCTGTCATTAGAAGCTCAAAGGTTAATGGTAGGACAGTTCTTTATTTGTCACTCTTGGAAAAAGATGTAGAAAAAAAGCAGAGCAGAGACCTGGGACCTCTGAAGGATCCTTGTAGATGGAAATGTTCCACTTTGCCTTGAATTGAGGAAAAATATTGGTGTTTGAAAATAGGAAGCAATTAACTTTTGGATAACCCGGGCATAATGACCAAGGTTGCATTTAAACTGCAGTTAATACTTATATGTTTACTAGCAGTATTATTTAATTCATAATACAGGAGCTGATTTCTGTCACTAAAGCCACCAGACCCCTGAGACACTCTGGTAATCTCACCAGGAAATGCAGATGCAGTGATCAGGTTGTACAGGTCCGAGCAGTTGTTTCTCCAGGCTGCGTGTGGGCACTTGCACAGTTGGCAGGAATACTAGCAATGGTTGTCAGGCCTGAATCCAACAGGGTATGCATTATATTCCAAGCTTCCCCATTAATTGGAGTAACTTGGCTTCTTGCAGCACTGCAGGCATTTTAGCTCACGACTTGTTCGAAGAAATGTGAAAGAACAGAAGGGGGCTGACCCATAGATCAATTTTTCTGTAACTTTCCTTGAACTTAGGTCAAAGTGCTGCTGGGATGGCCGTGCTGCAGGCTGAAATCATGTTGTTACTGTCAGTATTGGGCTTCCCGTCCACCTCGTCTTGTGGCTCAGTTATTTCTTGGTGGTTTAGTTATTGTGGATACAGCATGGATTCACCAGGGCAATCCCTGTAGTTGATGGTAAGACTATTCTCTTGCTTAATGTTTCCTATACTTTGTTGTAGGAATTTGGGTATTACATAATCCTTTACAATGTTATGTGCTTCCAAGATCATCATCTATAACTGGATATTACTTTTTATAACAGGTTACATATCAAAACTAACTTGATTAATTTTGACTAATCATTCTTATGAGGCTTAAAAAAAATTAATGGGTGCAGAAACAAATGGTTACAAGTTCCATCACAAGCTGACCAAGAACACAAGTTTTAGACCTGGTATCAGCTCTGCTATCCCCAGGGGACATCGTGCCCGAATCTGTTCTCAGCCTTCTTTAAAGCCATGTGGCAATCCAGTCCTTGTATTTAAGCTGGGCAAAGTCTTGTTTAATCTAGGCAGCCTTGGCTCTGCTGCTTTGAGCTCTCTGGTCTTCTGCACAGGTGTTACTAAAATAGTCCTTCTCTTTAAACTGAAGGAGAATTTTATTTGCTAATGTTTTTGCTGCTTGTTCAAATCAAAACCACAAATCTTCTTTCATAGAAGCTGCTCTTTTGTATGCACAAATCTGAACAGGAATAGCAAGCTGCATCCCATTCTAGAAACAGGCCCGGGAAAAGGGTCTCTGAAACAGTTTCAGTTCTACACTGCTTGTCAAACTGTCAAATGATAATTTACAGTAAGGTAAAATTCTCACCAGCTCCTGGAACTCAGATCTCTCCTGGTGTCGTGTTGCAAAGTTATCAGGAACCACAAAGTTAAAAAATCTTGTAGAATTTGAGTTAGAAATGTGCTATATTCCGCTGCTGAATTATAAAGGCTTGCTGTAGAATGAGGTGCAGCTCTTTATTTCCCCTGTATCAAAGGGAATTCAGAGAACTGACCTGTGTCAAAGTAATTTGTCTTAAAGCCATCAATATGATACAAATCTGAGTATCCTTGACAAAGAAAAGAAACTGTGTGTGATGTGACTGGCTTCCTTAAGAAAACTGCTGAATATTCATTGTGAAACAGTAAGAAAAGTGACTCTACCTGTTCCTGAGATTCTAAGCTTTTGGTTGCTTAAAAATAATCATCTGTAAATATTTGATCTGAA